AAGGACGGGTCGCATCGGATGTGTATAGACTATAGGGAGCTGAATAAGGTAACGGTGAAGAACCGTTACCCACTCCCGAGGATTGACGACCTCTTTGACCAGCTACAGGGAGCATCTTGGTTCTCCAAGATTGATTTGCGTTCAGGGTATCATCAGATGAGGGTCAGAGAGGAGGGTGTGCAGAAGACGGCATTTCGGAAGCGTTATGGCCACTATGAGTTCGTGGTGATGCCTTTCGGGCTCACCAATGCTCCTTCCGCGTTCATGGACCTCATGAACCGCGTGTGTAGACCGATGTTAGACCGGTCTGTGATAGTGTTTATCGACGATATCTTGGTTTACTCCAAGACGCGAGAGCAGCATGAGGAGCACTTGCGAGAGGTTCTGGAGACTTTGAGGAGGGAGACCTTGTATGCCAAGTTCTCCAAGTGTGAGTTCTGGTTGCGCGAGGTGCAGTTTCTTGGGCACCTTGTCAACCAGAACGGGATTTTGGTAGATCCGGCCAAAGTGGAGGCCGTGATGAGATGGGAGGTTCCGAGGTCTCCATCTGAGATTCGGAGTTTCCTGGGATTAGCTGGCTACTATCGGAGATTCATCCAGGATTTCTCCAAGATAGCCTTACCCCTGACCAGGCTAACGAGGAAGGCCGTGATCTTTTGTTGGGGGCCTGAGCAGCAGGCTGCATTCGAGACACTGAGGCAGAGATTGTGCGAGGCGCCAATCTTAGCCCTGCCAGAGGGCATGGAGGATTTTGTTGTGTACTGCGATGCGTCTATCACAGGTTTGGGCGCAGTGTTGATGCAGAGAGGGCATGTCATCGCCTACGCGTCAAGGCAGCTGAAGCCTCACGAGGCGAACTACCCGATGCATGATTTGGAGCTGGGGGCTGTTGTGTTCGCCCTCAAGATCTGGCGTCATTACCTCTATGGGGTTCGTTGTACCATTTACACGGACCACAAGAGTTTGAGGTACCTCATGGATCAGCCGAACCTGAACATGAGGCAGCGTAGGTGGATGGATGTGGTAAAGGATTACGACTGCGAGATCCTTTACCATCCGGGGAAGGCCAATGTGGTGGCCGATGCGCTTAGCCGCAAGGCAGCGCCAATCAGGGATATTTGTCTGAGGATGACAGTGGTGACTCCGCTGTTGGAGCGGATTCGGGAGGCCCAGCAGGAGGCCATGAAGGAGGAACATCAGAAGAACGAGCGGATTGTGGGACAGGTTTCCTCCTTCGACTACGACAGTAGAGGATTACTGACACTACACCGCAGGGTGTGGGTGCCATACCATGGGGGTGTGCGCCAGGTTCTGATGGAGGAAGCACACAAATCCCGATTCTCCATTCATCCCAGGGCGACGAAGATGTATAGGGATCTTCGTCTGGACTATTGGTGGCCCTGCATGAAGCGGGATATGGCATGGTACGTGGAGCGGTGCTTGACCTGCAGGAAGGTCAAGGCCGAGCATCAGAGACCACACGGCAAGATGCAGCCGTTGGATATCCCACTGTGGAAATGGGAAGACATCACGATGGATTTTATCACCAAGCTTCCCAGGACCGCGCGGGGAGTGGATTCGATCTGGGTCATCGTCGATCGATTGACCAAGAGCGCCCACTTCATCCCGATTCAGGAGAGCATCTCGGCCGAGAAATTGGTCGATATCTATATCAGGGAGGTGGTGGCGCGGCACGGAGTGCCAGTTTCGGTAATTTCGGATAGGGATGTGCGGTTCACTTCCAGATTTTGGAAGAAGTTTCATGATGAGTTGGGTACTCGTCTGCACTTTAGCACCGCTTTTCACCCGCAGACGGATGGTCAGAGCGAGCGGACCATCCAGACATTAGAGGATATGTTGCGGGCATGTGTTTTAGACTTCGGAGGTAGCTGGGATACCTACCTTCCGTTGGCAGAGTTCTCGTATAATAATAGCTATCATGCGAGTATTGACCGTCCTCCCTTCGAGATGTTATACGGAAGGAAGTGCAGAACCCCGATATGTTGGGGTGAGGTTGGCCAGAGGGTCATGGGGAGCACCGAAGTGGTGCTCAAGACGACAGAGAAGATTCAGCAGGTCCGGAGCAGGCTTCAGACTGCTCAGAGTTGGCAGAAAAGTTATGCCGATAAGCGTCGATCAGACCTGGAGTTCCAGGTCGGGGATATGGTTCTCCTGAAAGTGTCGCCTTGGAAAGGCGTCATTCGATTCAGGAAGCAGGGCAAGTTGGGCCCAAGGTACATTGGATCGTTCAGGGTGGTAGCCCGGGTGGGCAAGGTGGCGTACAGGCTGGATCTGCCAGTCGAACTCAGTCAGATCCACAACACTTTCCACGTCTCCCAGCTGCGGAAGTGCCTGGTGGACGACACAACAGTTGTACCCTTGGAGGACATTCAGGTTGATGACAGCCTGAATTACATCGAGCGGCCTGCAGCGATCCTTGAACGGAAGTCGAAGGATCTGAGGAACAAAAGAGTGGAACTCGTGAAGGTGCAATGGCAGCACCGGAAGGGGTCGGAGTGGACTTGGGAGCCGGTGGACGAGATGATGGAGCATTACCCCGAGTTGTTTCAGGAACGCGCAGCAGACTTCGAGGACGAAGTCTAAAATAAGTGGGGGAGATTTGTAGCACCTGGTTCTTGGTACGTTTTTTTTCTAAGTAATTTACATTTTTGGCCTTGGACTCAGCGAGTTGAGGTACCAACTCACCGAGTAGAAGCGAGAGGGGACGCGGGACTTAAGCGATGGACTCGGCGAGTCGGGTCCCGGACTCGGCGAGTAGGCCCTGTCTGGACAAAAAACCCTAACCCGAGGGTTTGCACCCTATTTAAACACCTTAACTCGGCCTCCTTCATCGCATTTGCTCCCAGAAGACCCCCATAGCAAACCCTAGCCGTTATTGAAGCAATCTAAGGCATTTGGAGTGACTTTGGTGCTTTTGTGATCCAAGGAAGGAAGGAAAAGCTTGAGGGATCAAGAGGAGGCTAGAAGGACTCGATTTTGAGCATCATTTGCAGTCTACAGAAGGTATAAAGTCTATACCTTGCTTGCTCTTTTGATAGATCCCATTTTGTGGAGTTTTAGGGCTTTTCTAAGCCATTTTGGTCACCAACCATGATTGCAAGCATGGTTTGGGGTTGATGTTTTGGATCTAGGTCCTTAGAGGGGTTACAAGGCAGAAAGGAGTGGCTTTTGCACTCAAAGAAGGTCCCATGCATTGTAAGAGCTTGTTTTAGGACCTTTTTAGCTCAAAGTCCCATGCAAACACGTAAAGGTTGTAACTTTACGTGCTAGATCGATTGTAGAAGCATAGATCTATCTTTTGATCAAGGGTTGTACATCAGAAATCGAAGATTTAGTGAGAGGATGTGACCAACTCGATGAGTCCATTCTTGGACTCGGCGAGTCCAAGGTTCTGTCCCATATCAGTTGAGGGTCAAAAGGACCCAGTTGAGTGTGGAAAGGCTTTAGGGAGTCCCGGGGAGTGACCCAACGTTCAGGACTAAGCCATTGTTCTGGGAGTTCATGGGACTCGGCGAGTGCATGAACAGACTCGGCGAGTCCAAGGCAATCTTCTTAGAACTCGACGAGTTGTTCATCAACTCGGCGAGTCGAGGACAGAACTTGTTCATCAGATGAAGGTAGACTCGACGAGTTGTTCATCAACTCGGCGAGTCGGATGAGTTTTCATGTGACGTTCATATGAGAGAAGAACTCGTCGAGTTGACGGACCAACTCGACGAGTGGGGTCATGGAAGAGGACAAGTAAAGGGTGATGGACTCGGCGAGTTGACGACCCAACTCGGCGAGTCCGGTCAACTAGAAGTTGACTTTGACTTGGACTTGGTTGGGGGTAAAATGGTCATTTTACCCTAAGAGTAGATGTCAGTTTCTAACTGAGTGTTTTGTGGGGATTATAGCCGGAGGACTTCCGGAGCAGCAGCAGTAGCAGTCAGAGGATTTCCCGCACAGATCAGCAGCTACTACGAGGTGAGTTACCTTCCAGTAGCGGTGGGTCTACGGCCACAATGTCGGCCCACCAGTAGGGATTGTATGATAGATGTTTTTCTTTATGATATTCATCTGTGTTGCTACTACCTGATATGTTATATGCTAGCGTGGTATGATATGTGATAGTGATAGAGTTCGGTTGTTAGGACCGAAGGGTAGGTTAGGCACCCCAGATATGCCTAACAACATGTTATAATATGTTTAACTGCTAGCATAATATGTTATATGAGATAGAGGTCGTAGGAGGGGGAATAGTCCCTGCGATTCGGTTGTTAGGACCGAAGGGTAGGTCGGACACCCCAGATATGTCTGACAGTAGATTATGCTATAATGTATGCGATAGTAGTAGTAGGGGTGAAATAGTCCCCGAGGTTCGGTTGTTAGTACCGAAGGGTAGTCAGCACCCCAGAATGGCTCGACATGGGCAGGTCAGCGCCCCAGAACGGCTTGACATGGGTAGGTCGGCACCCCAGAATGGCCGTACCGGGTAGGTCAGGCACCCCAGAATGGCCGTATGGTATGTGGACGACGGGGGAACTCACTAAGCTTCGTGCTTACAGTTTATAGTATTGGTTTCAGGTACCTCTTCAGCGAAGGGGAAGGAGCTGGCGCGGTAGCGGCACATCATACACACACTTGGTTTTCCACACTATGAGTTATTCTGGGATTTGTACTCTGACATTATTATGTTTCTTACGATTCGGTTCTCAGACACAAGATGTTTTTATGAAATGATATGATCGGTTGATATTATGTTACAAATGTTTTGCAAACCACTTAATCAAAAAATGAAATTTTTTGGACGTGAAAATTGGGTCGTTACACTTTGCCACCTGTTGGTAGGAAAATGCCTGGTAGGCCCAGAACCAAAAGAAGGAGGCATGCAAGTGAGAAAGAGAGTAAGTTTAGTTCCACTTCAAGGGTGAAACCCCCAAGGACAGTAAGATGTTCTAATTGTCTTGAGTATGGGCATAATAAAAAAGGCTGCAAGAATGAAAAAAAAGGTACCAATTCCTATGCCACCAAAGAAGATTGGGAGGCCTAGGAAATGTGATGTAGCTGGATCCAATCCACATGTTTCTGTACCCACTCATTCTAGTCAACAAGCAAGTCAACAGGGCAGTCAACCACCTATGACATCAACTGCAACCACTCAACCTAGTCAACAAGCAAGTCAACAGGGCAGTCTACATGCTTCAAGTTCTAAAACTGGCAAAAAAATGAGGAAATTAGGTTTAAGAGGCCCAAGTTTCAGAGTTGGTGACATTGCATCTGTGGGTGCTCAGTCAAGTGAAGTAACTGTCCCAGATGTTAGAAGGAAGAAATTGGCTGTAAGAAGGCAAAATAGGAAGTCAACAACCAAATTTCAGGATGAAGTCAACAACCAGGTTCCAAATGAGGTTGCTCAAGCTCCTTCTCTTAATGATGTTCCTTTGGTGAATGAGATGATAGAAGAGGAAGAAACTGAGGTGTCAGTGAAGGTGCCAGAGCCAGTTTTTAATGAAGTTCATTTGGTCAATAACCAAGTTCCAGTTGTTAATGATATTCCAAAAAATGTTGCTCAAGTTCCTGCTGTTAATGGTGTTCCTTTGGTGAATGAGGTGATAGAAGAGGAAGATGACATTATGGTGATAGAAGAAGAAGAAGTTATGGTGCTAGAAGAAGAAGCAGTTGATGTTCCAGTAAAGGTTGCCCAAGATCTAAAACAAAAGTCTTGATGAAGTTGGAGATGCAATTGATCAAATTCTTGGTTCTGGAACTGAATCAGATGCATCTGATGTTCCATTGGTGAATGAAGGTGGTGAAGAACCTGAATTCACTGAAGGACATGCATCAGATGTTCTCCCAGATAAAATCAAGATAAGTATTGAAGGAATAGCAAATTTACTTGAAGCAGGATATTTCATGGCTGAAATTGAAAGCATGGGGTGGTTGGAAATTGAACTTGATGACACTCCACCAGTTGAGATGGTAATTTATTAACCTTGTAATTTTAATTTTAAATATATGTTTTTTCCCATTTATATGATATGGTAATTTATTAACCTTGTTATTTCTTGCATCAGGACTTAAATGAGGATGAGCCTGATGTTGATGAAGGTGAAGCTGACTTTGTAAATGATGTTCTAAATGATGGTGGTGTGATTGAAGGTGAAGGTGAAGCTGACTTTGTAAATGATGGTGATGTGATTGAAGTTGAAGGTGGTCAAAATCAAGATGATGGTGATGTGATTGAAGGTGAAGGTGTTAATCATGGGAATGAGGTTGCTGGTGATGTTCTAAATAATGAGGTTGTTGATGATGGGAATGTGGCTGATGATGAAGGTCATCTGATAGTGCCTAAGACAAGGAAAAGAAAGCCATCAGAGAGGATCACTAAACTAAAGATTAAAAAGGCAGTTTTTGATAAAGATGGGGGTGGTTCCACATGTTCAAATCCAGTGAATCTGGAGTAGTTAGTTATGTATATGGGGGATTTAGGTGGGGATGGTATACTTGGGCATTTGCACAGGAAGCCCTTTTTGGTACATTTTGTACATCTTAGTTTATACACCCACTAAGTGCACCTTTCATCCAGTTGTTCTCATGTACCTTTTGGGTTGCCTTTTTGGGATATATTTTTGGCAATTTGGTATAAATGGATGGATGGTACATGTTAGTTGATCTTTTGTAATCTTTTGTAATGGTACATGAATATGATGTAATGAATCCCCTCATTATGGTTATAATATGTTTGTTAAGTTTGTTATTTAATATTATGTTTTTTTGATCCATACCATTGGCATCTATATTATGTATCATTTGTAACTACAGTTAGCCAATTTCAGCATTGTACTTTACCATTTAGCAATTTAATCTATATTATGAACCATATGTTTGTTATGTTTACCATTTGCATTTCACAGATAATTTGTATTTTACCATTTCACAGCATTGTATCTAAAATCTTCATCCAAAACAACAGTTACTAGCCAATTTCAGCATTGTACTTCCATTTGCAACTAAAATCAATCCAAACATTCTACCAAAAGCCAAGTCGATCCAAACATTCTACCAAAAGCCAATCCAAAATAATTTACATCTTCAAAACAACTATTGTCACCATTACCAAAATAAGAACTAAGAGACCTACAATTATTTCTACCAAAGTCTTCAACGGTCCATGCTCCTGCCCCTGCCCCTGCCCCTGCTTTGTGTGAGTTGGGTCGATAATGTGGCCATCTTCTTCATTGTACCATTGGAAAAAAACCACAGTCCTCTTCTTCCACCTAGAAAAACAATAATTTGTATGAATTACATACCTTTTTTCAAGGTTTCTCAAGAAATTTACAAATTAGGGCAAATTGTTTACCTTGTAATTAAGGCACCCGTAAAACTTCTTTCCATAGTTCTCAGGTGTTCGAGCAACAGATACCTTGCACACATCTCCACATCCACATCTAACTATTCTTTTCTTTCTCGATGTTGGACCACCTTGGAAGCTTGATTTGGCAGACGAAGTCGACATTTTACAGATACTTAGGGTAGAAGACGGGGGAGAGAATAGAAGACAGGGGAGGGAAAGACTTTGGATCGATATTAATGGAAGACGATGATGTTGGGGGTTAAAAGGTGGATGTAATAAAGGGGACGGTTAAAAAACATTAAAATGAAACATGAGGGGCAAATGTTAGGCATCTGTGGCAAAAAAATCGATTTTGGGCATAACCGGTTTTTTTTATGTAAATTTGGGGGCTTTTATGACAAAAACCCTAGTATTAATTATGGGAATTCTATATATACCTCCTCAAATTGTTTTGATAACGTACTTAATTACTTATGTTTATGGGGGATAAAATAATATTTTAACAAAAAGTTAGGTTGTAACCCGTTGCCATAAACATAATCTAATCATATGGTTAGTCATTAATTTTTAAGGATAATTACACAGCTAGCCTAATCTCCTAAAAAGTTTTCTATTTTTAGTCGAAATTAGTAATTATCCCAAAATAGCCATTAAAATCTTAGCCCTTAAGATCGGCTACTGTTTCGCCCATTTTGCCTAGGGTTTCGATGTGTGTGTGTGTATATATATATATATATATATATATATATATTATATATATATCATTTTACAAAACAAAACTGTAGACCATTATATGGTCTACGGTATCCTCTGTATATTATACAGTTTCCCAAACCGTAGATCTTAAATGGTCTACTGTTTCGATCCAAACCTACAATTTTTTTTTACTACTATTTTGTATTTTTGACTACTGTTAGGTAGAAGTGGACTACGAATTCATGGATTTTGACTATTATTCATACCTAGTATATATATTAAATGTGAATATATTTTAGAATGAAGGTTATTGTTTTTGATCTTGTTTTATCTCAAAAATCATATTATCAGTTCAAGTAAGTACTTCGTATTGCTTATCGCTGATGGAAAATGAGAGTTTGTTAATTCCCAGGTATCATGTGTATGACCACCAGGATACATTCTGAGAATGTTTTATTACGGTGTTGAATTTTATGATACCACCACATTCACTGAATTTGTTTATTTGGCTAAAAGTAAAATGGATATTCTTGATGAATCAAAAGTCAGTCTGTCTTATCACCATCCCAAGCAACTTTATTATTGTGGTACTGTTGATGATCATGATATTAGAAATTTGATCAAGTTAATAAATGTTGTTGGAGATAAACATGTGTCTATGTATGTAGTGGTAGAAGAAGGTGTTGGGGGTAACGAAATCGGCGATAGAGGAAAAGCATCTGCAACTAACATATCCAGTGGAAAGGGAGCAACAACTCAATATGTACTTTTATATCTCCAAGTATACCTCAATATCATAGTGTTGTTGAAAATGTAAACATAGTGTCAGAACCGATTTTATATGTTGAACAACAAAATTGTAAGTACATCGGTGATGATGATGTTGGTACATATGTTAATGATGTGGGTGCACATCATTACTTTGACCACAAACCACTAGTCGTCGTCAATAAAGTCGGTAATGAATCCGAAAAAGAAGAAATTCCTTTTTTGATTGATGGTACATTAAAAGGATACAGGGAGTTTGCGGATTGTGACAAGCTGGATATATCTGACCTAGAGAGTAATTCTAATGGAGAAGAATCAAATGATGAACCTAAACTTATGTATTCAGATACCATTTTGCATGGTATGCCCCCATTGACTTCATGCCCTGTAAATGTTGATGTGAA